TCTGGTCTCCTTGTCTGCGTTTCTCTGCAGGCCAGGTGCATCTGCATGAATGTCTTCCTTCCTCTTTTTTTTTTTTTTTTTTTTTAAGTTTATTTATTTTTGACAGAGACAGAGTGCAAGCATGAGCTTGGGGGGGGAGGGGGGTGGCAGAGAGAGAGAGGGAGACACAGAATCCAAAGCAGGCTCCAGGCTCCAAGCTGTCAGCACAGAGCCCGATGTGGGGCCTGAACTCACAAACCGTGAGATCGTGACCTGAGCCAAATTCGGACACTCAACCAACCAAGCCACCCAGGCGCCCCTTATGTCTTCCTTTCTCTTAAAAACAAGTGTTCCAGCATACAGGGAAGAGTAGAAGCCACCATTCAGACTCAGGTCTGTCTTAGGGAAGCTCATATGGATTATACGACTTTCCATTTTCTACATTCCCAGGTGATAATGTAAAATCTAGGGATAGAAATTTGGTGAGATTGGATGGTGAGTTAAATCCTTAACAACTTTAAAAGGTATTTTAAAACATTTTCAACAGAGGAGGATAATGTGCCAATGTTGCATCTTCTTGTAATGGAATCTAACATGGAGTCTGTGGGACCATGGAGGGTTGTGACAGGGCCAATAAGATGGGTTTTGTATCTGTCAGCCATTTGTAACGAAAAGTTTGCGTAGAATTGTATTTTTCTTCCTATTAGATCTGGTTTGTAAGAGGAAGAAGGACATTTTAGACATATTTCAAAACTGAGTTGCTGATGAGGCCACAGATAGTTTTTCAAGAGTTCGGGGAAATCAGGCAGTGTCTCATCTGTTGTTAATTAATGAAATGAAACTGAGGTCACTAGAGTACAACGATGAATGAAAGGTCATTGAATGGAAAAAACTGTCAATGAAGGAGGGTGTTAGCAGAGTGGAACATTGTCCTAGATAAAGATCAGGGAAAATGTACTCTTTGGCTCAGGTCGTGTTTTCTGGAAGCGACTATGGTTTGGGACATCTCAGTCAAGACTGAGCACTGTATGCTCTGATTTTAGTGAAATCTGTTCAGTATTTTAAGGCTATTCAGGTTTGTGCCAGAGATTCATTGAAAAGATAGGTAAAAAAGATTTCTTTTTGTTTTATAATGTGTTCTTACCGTGTGTTATTGCTGTTTTTGTTTGGCTTTTTTGTTTTGTTTTGAGGTTAAAAACTGGTTTCCTGCTCTTATTTCTGTTCTCTTAGAATTTTCTAGAGCCACACTCACTTTTGAGATACTCAAAAGTTAAAAGTGATTTAGGATCATGGTAGTAATTAGTGATAAGGCCGGACCTCAAACAGCCAACAGTGACTGACTCTGTGGTTTTTGCCAAATTGCGTCCCCTCTGAGAGTTGCTTTGTGGAGGATGGCCTGAAAGTCCTCAAGACAGCTTTCAGTTTCACAACCACCTTGCACACTGTGATCCTGAACAAACCAGTGACTGTATTTATACTTTAACTAATTCATCTGTCAATTCTGTTACTGGTTTCATGCAAAGTGCATTTAGAGTTTCTTGTGTCTCTGGTTATGTCAGACCTCTTGCCTTTTTTTTTTCTCCCACACTGAAGCTTTTGAACCAGGTAGCTTTGGGGAAATGAGGCTCTGCCATCAGTTTGGGAGAGGCCCATGGCCATTTTCAGCCTGGTATTGAGACTTGACTGGTCACGGCTAGTGAGGGCAGGACCCCATAGAAATCAGCAAGGCTGTCCCCGTATCCTAAGAGGGAGTTAATCTCGTAGTATTTGGAGAAGTGATGATATAGCACAGCCATTGAGTGTATAGTCTCTAGGGCCAGACTGCTGGGGCTCATATCCTAATTCTGCCAGTTATTACCCTATGTTTTTCTGAACCTCTGTTTTCTTATTTGTAAAATAGGAATAATGATAGCACCTACCTCATAGTTACAAAGATTGAATAAATACTTTTAAAGTGCTTAGAGCAATGTTTGTCGCTTACCAAACATTGGTGTTTGCTAACATTAACAATTATTGTTAAGTAATTCTTTGATTACTTGTATTATTTGTTTATCTGATTACTTATAAATTTAAAATGGAATTCAACTGGAGTTTCCTTGGATTGTTTCTCTTTTCTCTGAGAATATTTACTGAAATATTGTTCTGTTAGATTTAAATGAGAGGCTATTACATGAACTGTATTAGAGCCACGATAGAAAAAAAATCTGAGAACGGCTCTGTGGAGAAATACCGGACCCAGAGAAGTTAACAGAAGCTTATTAATATTTAAACTCCTACAATTAAATTGTAATCAGAATAGTGCCTGTCAGTTATTATGTTGGGTAGATGTAAGGTAGATAAAGAACGATGAGACCCTTTAACACTTACTGTTAGAAGAACTACTTTCGGGGGGAAAAAAAAAAAAACACACCTCACCTTAAATAACTGTGTTATGCACTTAGACTGAAAAGGGACAGAACACTAACAGAAACAAATTCTAAATACTAATCAGTGACACTCTTATACATAGGCCAAGGTAGGTTGACCGCTTTCTTGAGGTTCCCTGTGGGTTATGCTCTATGAGCATAGGTGTAGGAATTGTGACTGGCTCCATTTCAGTACTTGCAATGGCCCTTGTGTAACATTTCCTCAACTGTGAGTTGCCCTTACTATAAATAGATTTTAGGCAGTGGGGGGAATGGTTTGGGAAACTTATTTGAGTTACATTAAACTCATTTCCTTGGAGTCTTTAATATGCTAATATGTGCTGTGATTCTCCCAGGGAAATATGATACGCAGTATTTCTCTTACTCTTTGGACCAGTATCTTGTCTGTCAACTTCCTGTAGGACCCTAGTGCTTTGGAGCACACTTTGGGAAATGTAACCTTAGAGCATTGCTTTTTTCGCTTTGTGTCTCTGGCGAATCCTAACAAGACGTAGCTAAACAAATAGCTGCAGATCCAGGGTGGAGGAAGGCCTCCCAGGTGAGGCTGGGTCCTAAATGTATCTGAACTCAGCCTGTGCTCTTTCTCTGCCGTCAGTCTTGGGGCTTGTCTGTGTTTTGCTTGCTGCGTGTGCATGCACAGGGCATGGTAGTGGTGGTGATAATCCTGAATAAGAGAACAGCATCAGAGTGTGAAATGAAAGTGGGTTTTGTGTAGCTGGTGGCTTGGAAATGGTAAGTAATGAAGCCATGGAACTATGCAGGAACACGTCCTGAGGGCCTCATCTATCACGTGAAGGAGTATGGGATTTCTGTAATGGAACTGCCTACCTTTCCATCAGGTTACCTTAAGAACTGCTGATGAGTAAAAACTGCACAGACACTTAGGTGGAGGCTAGGAATGACACTTGAGCATTTTGCGGGTACCATAGCTGTCACAGGCCCCTTGCCATCCTAGCTTGCTGCATTGTGGAACCTGTACTGAGTACAGACAGTAGACACAGGAGTCCAGCAGATTCAACTTCAGTTGAACATACTGCAGGGGATAATAAGGGATGACATACTCTCCCCTCCCAGCTCCCTGCATGTCTGCAGTTTTTGAGGACATGTTTTAGTTGCTTCTGGAAGTGGACTAAAGACTAACAGAATGTAACTCAAAGAACTGGAGATAAATGTTCAGTGAGATTTTAAGATCTTGTTTAGGGCTTGATTAAAGAGGTAAAAGTGGGGCTGCCCTGTCCTAATAACATGTTAATTGTTTTTTAATTAAATCGTACTAAAAATATACAAGTATTTCCTGTGATCCAAATCTCTTTGCTTCCTGACTTTGAACTTGGTGAGTAATGAGGGTTTGGCTAGCAGAAGATTTCTCTGAAAATTTACCAGAATCTTTAGATTCTGGGTTTGGATTTGAATAGCAAGGAATATTTATATTGGAAAACCCAGGGAAGACCATATTCATTTTTTCTTTTTCAGAGGGGGTGAGGGTGCCTCCAATGGTTGGGTAGATGTCTTGTCATTAAGAAATGGCAAGATGGTGATTTAATGAAGGTCACAGAGCAGATCATAGTAAGGACTGGACTAGGAAAAACGGGATTCTTCTGGGTGTAGGAATCTTGCCACAAGGCCTTCATGTACCCTAAGAAATTAGGGTCTGTCACCACTTCTTCATAGTGCTCAGCAAAATGAACAGTGGATCCCAGGAGTCACTGGTAATTATAGGAACCTTGATTAACTGTCCAGGAATTTCAAGGACTTGATGTGGAGAATATTTGCAAGAGTAGGGGCAGATATGTCTGTGATCCCTTTGACATAAAAAACCTACATAGTAGGAAGATTGAAATTTAACTCTAGCATTTTTAACTTGATCAATTTTATTTTGAAGAAATAACATCTGGCCTCAGTTCATGGTTGTTTTTGTTTTGTTTTTATATCCCCATTTCACCTCTCTGAATAGTTGTCTTGGCTTATTTGCTACTTTTTTTATTTTTTTATTTTAAAATATTTATTTTTTTTGAGAGAGAGAGAGAGAGAGAGAGCATGTGAGTGAGTGAGCATGTGCATGCCAGCATGGAAGAAGCAGAGAAAGAAGGAGAGACAGAATCCCAAGCAGTCTCTATGCTGTCAGTGCAGAGCCCATTGTGGGGCTTGATCTCATGAACCCATGAGATCATGACCTGAGCCAAAATCAAGAGTCAGGTGCTTAACTGACTGAGCCACCCAGGTGCCCCTGTTTGCTACTTATTTTAAATCCTCTTTAAGTTCCATAGGAGAGTATTCATTTGGGAGACTGGGGGCAGGGAGGAAATGTAGGGTAGGTGAGGTTGGAGAGAGGGAGAAAGAGACGGGTCCAGTTAGGTGTCCTCAGGGGTACGGCTCCCCATCGTGGTGGCCCTATAAGCCAAGGCTCACTGCCGGGCTGTATGCCAGGCTCCGTGGTGGACAGCTGTGGACAGGAGTACGTGTGTAGTGCTGTCCACTTGCATCTGTGGGATTTGACTTTTTTTTTTTTAACCAGTTAGAGTTATATTTGAGCAGTTAACGAAAGGCTGGTTTTTATCCTAGTGCATGGCATAGTAATTTTATGTGTATTTTTAGGTGGGTTTGCGGAGTTCTCCCGTTGTTTCCCTGGCCTCTGTGAAGGAAAATCTGCTGTAGTCCCTACCTGCATTTCTCAGCCTTGCCTTCCTGTTGCCAACATTGGGCCAACCCGAATTCTTCCCAATCTGTATCTTGGCTGCCAGCGAGATGTCCTCAACAAGGTGGGTGTTTTGAAAATATCCTTCATTGTAGGGTTTCTTGTTAGCAGCTGGAGAAATCGCGATTGCCCATCAGCTGTCGCTTCCAGAAAGGAAGTACAGCATTCTCAGTGTGACTCCCTGTGGCACTTGCATTAGCTTCTGGAGGGCTGTTTTGTTTGATGTTACTGATTGCCATAAGATGTAAATGTTGTCACACTTGCTTGTTCCTCAAAGATCCGGGAGACCTGGGATAGGACAGGATTTGTCAGAAGTGTAGCCGGATTCTCTTAGGGTATTAATTGTTCTGTTGTAGTCATTGGGCACACTCAGGAAGGCTGATACTTCCTAGATTATTTCACATTTGTAACTGTATTTGTTTACTGAGGCATAGTAGAAAGGGACTCAGGCTGAGCTTGGATTGAAGAAGGGCCTCTGGCTGGAGGGATGGGAGTGGGAATAAGATGGTGAGGAGAAGGGCTAAGAGCACGCACTGCAGGCCGCCCCGTCAGAGGCTGCCTGGAGCAGCTTCATTGAGAAAGAAGAGGGAGGAGCTCGGACTTGCTGAAAAGGTTCACACACGTGAAGCTGGTGTGCCCAATAGAGGAATCCATAGTGATCCAGCCCACCATATTTAATGGTACAGGTGTAACAGTAGTAGAACTAAGGTCTGCCTGCCTGCACAGCTTATATGCTCTTAACTGGTAGTGCTGGGAAACTGTGCTCTAACTTCCCAGAAAAGAGGTTTTTCTCTAAAAGAGCAATCAAAGATCTTAATTTACCTGTTGGTGACTTACAGGTGCTACTTTATTTGTTTATTTATTTTTAAAGAGAGAGAGAGCAAGCAGGGGAGGGGCAGAGAGAGAGAGAGGATCCCAAGTAAGCTTTGCCCTGTCAGCACAGAACCCACTGTGGGGCTCAGTCTCATGAACCGTGAGATCATGACCTGAGCCAAAATCAAGAGTTGGATGCTTAACCGACTAAGCCATCCAGGCACCCCACAGGTGCTACTTACTTGTAAAGGGGGGAGGTACCTTTTCTCCTTGAGTAATTGAAAGAGTTGGGCTGACCATAAAACTAGCTCCCAGATTGGCTTGTATTAGCACGTGAAAAGCAAAAATACTCTGTGTTTGCCAGCAGTGGGGGATTCTTTCATTTTTTCTTTTTTGTTTTTTCAAAACTCCCACCTCTGTAAAATTTTGCCTCGACACTGTTATTAATATCTCTGCTTTTACTGTGAGAGATTTGAAATTTGATAGTTTATACTGTTTTGGGTTTTTTTGGTGTAAAAAGATGATTTTATTAAAGCACGGGGACGGGACCCATAGGCAGGAAGGGCTGCCGATAGTTTATACTTTTATTGAGCCTTTCTGGTGGGGTCACAGTTCCTTTGAACACGTGATTATTGTTCTCTTTTAGAGATAAGCAACCTATGTCACAGAAACCAAAATTAATTTCCTACAGTCACATGCATCCCTGGGATAAAGCTGAAGATGTTTTAGTTAATCCTCAATCGGAAAATGAAATAAAATTCATCCTAGTTAAGGATCCTGTCCCGATTTACCCCTAGTTAAAACAAACAAAAAAAATAACCAGTCAGCAGGTGCTTTTACAAATAATTGTGTTATAGATCATTTTTGTTACTTTTGACATCAAGTTAAATGGCACATTCATTTTGCTATGTACTATTTCCAGGTTTAACATATGTGTCTGTTAATGACTCTAGCGGTTAAAATGGACCCTGGAGTTGAAGACATGGGGAGAGGATGGTTTTCTCCTTCATCTGGTTTCTCAGTGGACACTGAACAGGCTGAAGAGGATATGTACACAGAAGCATTGGGAGGAGGTAGTTGTGGGGAAGGAATACATTTATGGAAGCTCAAGGGGAAAACAGCCTGGGCAAGGAGGTTTTGTGGAAGACTGTCAGGAAACTTCTTTACAGCAGATGTAAAGGATGGTGAGAAGTAAGCATGCTTTGAAAATGGTGAGCAGGAATCCCATAGTGACCTCTGGATTCATTGTTGAGAAGAGTCCTAATGCTGACAGGGATTTTAGAGATCATGTAGTCAATCTCCTTTCCTTGATCAATGAGGAAGCTGATATTCCAGAAACATTAAGTGAATTCCACGACACCCAACAGATGAGTTTTGGGACCAGATGTGGCTCTGTTGAACAGATAGCTTGAACTGATCTTTCTCCTCAGCTCTCTGATTTAAACTTTCCAGGAGAAATAATATGCTGCTTCTCTTCCCGAAGATCTCCAGAGATGAAGATTTTGTAATGTTTCCTAATAGCACATACCTTTTTATTAGAATTTAGAAGCTGAAGTTTTTAAAAACGTAGATGATAAGACCACTAATTTTATTAGTTTTTAAAAAAATTTTTTTTTAATGTTTTATTTCTAAGACAGAGAGAGACAGAGCATGAGAGGGGGAGGGGCAGAGAGAGAAGGAGACACAGAATCTGAAGCAGGCTCCAGGCTCTGAGCTGTCAGCACAGAGCCCGATATGGGGCTCGAACTCACAAACCGTGAGATCATGACCTGAGCTGGAGTCGGTTGCTCAACCGACTGAGCCACCCAGGCACCCCTAGTTTTCTTTTAAATCAAGTGACACCAAAATATTTTAAAAGCATATCACAGAAACTTTATTAAAATCATATTTACCACTTAAAATGCTAGGCTCTTTATATTATTGCATTTAACCCTCATAATAGGATTAAGACATAGGTTGGCTCTGAGTTGTCACTTACCCAAGATTTTGTGGCTGGGAAGTCATGGACTTCAAAGCTGGTTAGTGGCAGAGATCATCCTCACTCAAGCTACTGTTCTGGCTTTAAGGCTTGTGTTCATATAACACCAGACATACCCATCTTCTAGAAGCTAGAACTCTCTAGAACAGGCTGTTATGAAGGACTGACGATCTAAACTGTTTCTTGAGTCACTGCTGAGATTTTCTTTCCCTAGTTTTCCTACAGCACATTCTGTACCAGCACTGTCCACTAGAAAGGTAATACAAGCCATATACTTAAAATGTTTCAATAGCTTTATTAAAAAAGTAAAAAAGAGCAGGTGAAATTAATTTTGATAACTTTATCACAGTATATCTAGAATATTATTTCAATGTGCAATCAATGTAGAAAAACTATTGCTATTTTATGTATTTTTTGTACTAAGTCTTTAAAATATGGTGTATATTTCGTAATTACTACCCATCTCAGTGTGGCACAGTTCAGGTGCTCAGTGGCCTCATGTGGCTTGTGGCTACCACAGAGGACAGTGTAGGTCAATACTTTCAACATATTTTAATTGTACTCAGGTTTCCAAGGCATAGCTCTTCCGTAAAAAACCGTAAGAAGTCATTGGTAGCAAAAAGAATACTTTCAATTTCTTTTCCCCTCACAACTGTACTTTTGTTTCTCACAGTCTGTTCTTTTATTCTCTAGTCTTTATACAAGAATTGGAACAGGAATAGCTTATTGTACTAAAAGTAGTTTGCCAGTGCCCAGTTCACATCTGAACTGAGTGGGATTTGCGCAAGAATCTCTTTGAAAGACCAAAGTTCTTGATTTTCTGCCTTATCGCTTAACATTTCCAGTAGAGACTTTAGTTTCACACTTAAATGCATGAAATGTATGATGGAATCAACCTGTTGTCAGTAGTCACAAAGCCAGAGCTGTATCTGCAGTAAGTTAGCAGTTCTGCTGCCCCCTTGCCCCCCAGATAGTGTGCTGTTGGCACTCTTGGTGTTGCTCATTTCACTCTTGGAACCAGCAAGGTTGGTTTTCTTGTGCTGCCCGGTTGTGTTGCCTGCCACTGGGATGACTGCCACTTTCTCTGTTGTTTTCTTACCAGAACTAGTAGCCTAGACACAGAATACTGCCTTCAGGGTTTCCATATGATCTAGGAAGGCAAAGGTCAAAATTATCAGTAAAAATACAACACATGGTGCTCAAGTTGAGTAGACAAGACCAGTTCATTCCACAATGATGTACAAGACGAGGTGAGTGACTGTTGAACTCCCACTACCAACGCAGCCTGGAGTGATGGTTGACAGCTGGCCTTGGAGGTGGGCAGTTTTGCTTCCCAGGTCTTACCTTACCATCCATATCACTTTAGCTAAGTTGCTGAATCTCAGTTTCGTCACCTACAAACTGTCACGATTCCTGCCTTCTAGCATTCACGTGAGGTTCAAATGAAATCACGTATCCCTAGCACCAAGGACAGTTCCTGGTTCACAGGGCCCTTGGTCAATGTCCTCAAGAGGTGGGGTATACCAGAGGCTTTCGTGAGTGGTGGATACAGTGGGTGTGGTTGATTGAGGAAGGCTGGATGGAGGAAGTAGGACGTAAGGTCAGTTTTGAAGGCAAAAGGAGTGGCAAATGCAAAAATATTTATTTGAATGGACTTCAGAAAAAAAAGTGACAATTCCATTGTCTAGAATTGCAGTGCCTGTGGTGATTTAATGTGATCTCTCTCCTCAGTCTAGCTGAACATGGGAAACTTGGCCAAGTAGAACAGTTTTATTAAGGCTTGTATATCAATCTGTGTTCCATTTATTATTTCATAGTCTGCAACAACAGATTATAGGACCCTTACTTACAAATTAGTCCCAACTACAGGGCAAAGTTTATTTCATTATTTAGGAGAGAGAAACTTTGAGAGGGAAAAAATTGTGAATGGAAATCATAATGAATAATAAAATAATGAAATAAAGATTATTTTTGACTCAAAAATGTTAATTTTGAAAGTTTTCTTAATTGTATATTGAAGCAAGAATCCATCCATCACCCACACGGTTACAATTTTTTTTTCTTCTGATGAGAACTTTTAAGTGCTGTACATTACATCCCCATGACTTATTACTGGAAGTTTGTCCCTTCTGACCATTGTCACCCACACCCCCCATATGTTCTCTGTATCTCTGAGTAGATTCCTTTAGATTCCACATATGTAAGTGAGACTGTATAGTATTTTTCTCTGACTTATTTCACTTAGCATAATGTCCTCATAATGTCGCAAATGG